ACTAAAATGCTCTCTATCTGAAGCTGATTTGTAAAAGAAATAGGATAGCACTAGACCGTTAGAACTTTAAAACCATCATATTCCAATTCGGACATCTTGGTGAAATTTGGTAGCCACAGTACTCTGTAGCCATAGCTTTCAAAGCTTTAGATGACTATGAGAGTTTTAGCGCACCTAGAATGTATTCTTCTTTGGTGAATGCTGTTAGTGTAGTCACTTCTGTGGTTATATTTTCTTACAAAATTCTTGAAATAAACAGTTAGTGCAATCAGTTTCTATGTGTTTTCATATTGGCCACTCCACTTGTTCAAATGCCTTATTAACTGTGTGTTACTCCGACATCTGCTGCAGAATGTCCTAAGTACACAATTTCCTGGCAAACAGTTTAAGCAGGTTTTATAAATTATAGCGATAAAAAGTTCAAGCCTTTGAAGTGGAGAAATGGGAAATTCAATAGGATATCAATGACTATCCAGTGAGAATACAGGAAAGATGACAAGAGATCTCTTAACACAAGCTATTCAATTCATATTCTCTATTTTCCTTATTCATAGATTTGAGCGCCTTTTAATAGGCATTTATTAGTCACTTCAACGACAATGTTATGGTGATATTTACATCTTATCTTTCCATTCCGCTATTTGACTTCAATCCTGGCTCCGAGAACGGTTAAATTTCTATTAATTTTACTGTGCCTACTAGGATTTGTAAAGATAATTCTTTAGATAAGGATAAATTCTTCACACTGATAGGTATTGTCTAAACAGACTTCTGGAAGATAGAATAGACCCTCTTATTTAAGATCTTTTTATAGATTAAATTCTTAATGTTACTCATATCATCAAAAGACCATCTTCTTTGCTGATCTTAACAATGATCTGGAGCTACTGTTTGCTTCTTCATACAGCAATACTGCTCTTCTTATTTTCTAAATTAGATGAACTCCTAAAATTTTTCATAAATGCTCTTCTTACAAATAGGAAATTAACCCTGTTTTGCATATAATATCACTCAACTGACTTCCTTTAGTATGTGAATTATCTGTTGTGAACATTTCTGGAACCTTTCTAAAATGTAACACTGTATCTTGCCATTTTAATTGGTGTCACTATATGATGGAAGAATGCTGGAACATGTCGGGAAGAATATCCCTGCAGATAAAGTGATTGAGATTAGAGAAGATATTCAAGATACAGTGGTTGGAAGGCTAGATTAGGCCTGATGCTTAAATGAAAATCCTGAAATTCAATGGGTTTGAGGTCAGTGGAGGTGAAATCCCATAGTAAATTGCAGTGGATATTACTGCACATAAAGAGTTTGGCAGAGTAACCGAAGAATTGTCTACAATGTACAGATTGATCATTGGGACCTCAGATTCAAAGATCATGCTGAAACACCAATATGCTTTATACTGAAGGCTTTCAAAGATTAGAGAAAACCCTCACATTGTGAAAGGAAAACTCAAATTGCTGCTCATTTCTTAAAATCCCTTCAATTTCAGGATATCCTTTCTGGACATACTGAGAACAGCTTTCCACAACTATTCCTCCTTAAATGCTTTCCCCTGACTGCCTCTTTGCTCTATCAATACAACTGAATGCATCAGATTCTCTATTTCCAAGTTTTGTGCAGACGGAGAATATCAGAAAAACATGACCCTGCAAGAAAATTCTCGTTCTTTTCTGTATCTTGTGCAATTATATGTCAGTACACCAATGTATTCGTATTCACCTTTAGTTATGCCTGCAAGATATCTACTGTGTGAGTCGGTGATTGTTTTCAATATTACTTGTAGCCTATGTTGCATGGGTACGGGTGTGGGTACGGGGAACGACAAATTTGTAGAAGGTAGGGTATGCAGACACGACTGAAACGCATGGGCTAAAAGCATAGTTCTTAACTAGATATGCTAACGAACCTTTGAAATTGTAGCTTAGAACGGAATATGTGCTGAATGAACCTGATCCTCGTCCAAGAAGTGTATGTTGAGTGTTTTAAATCTAAAATATATTGTATAATTGAGTACACATCTCAGTAAGTGTATGCTTATATTGAGGAGTGTCCAATAAGTGTCGGGTATGGGTACGGGACGTGTTGGGTATGGGTACGGTTTCATGGTAGAAGTACCCATGCAGTATAGCTTGTAGCTAATGATTGTGTAGCTAGGAGCCCTGGTAAAACTTGTGAGGTGTACAATAATGCTAGGATAGATGATCTCATCCGAAGTTGTTATACAAATAGTATACTAGCCCACACTAGCCAGAATTCTTGGAATTAAGTACAACTCGCAGCTGAATAGCATTCATAACCGAGTGCTGCAAGTTCCTGAATCGTAAATCTTCTGTTGGCTGGTGGTTGATGCTTACAGATGATTGATACTTGGTTTCATGGGAGGATGCTGGATATGGAACTTGGAGAAGTATGTCCTATTCATGACCACTAAGGTTTAAAGCTGAAAAGCCCAATATTCTTATGTGAAACTAGACACCAAAGTTGTAATGAACTCTGGAACTAATCAAACTAGAGTCCTGAGGCAGGCAAAGGCTGTAGTTAAAGCTTGCTACGGTAAGGGTGGGCTTGGACGGGTGATATCTTACGAAGCCCTAATTTGTGGGTTTTAGTAGTTACGGTGCATCCTACTTCAACCCAACATCTTTTGCTGGCTTCACCTTTTCATGTAATATTGCAAAATCTGACATCTTGAATCAAACGAGGTTATGTTGGGTTCGAACTATTTGCACTCATTAGCATTATGTTGGGTTCGAACTATTTGCACTCATTAGCATTGTTATGTATGTGACTTTTTTATAAGAGTCTTTTCATCGGATTGTCATACTGGTCTATGCATAAGCATACACGTGCAATATGTATTACTAGAAGGTTATAATGTCATGATGCTCATCTGTAGGAAAGTTGGCCAATCAATTGGCATTTCAGTTGCCTTTCTTACTATCTTAATATAGTTGCACCCTAATACCACTGCTTTCACAGCTACAGAAGTGTAAGTTTTCCGCTGGATTCATTCTAGAAACAGATACACCAGGGCTTGTCATTTTGGTACTTATGATCCCAAAATTAAACCCTATGATGTAAATTCAGGCTTCAGAGAAGGATGGGGCTCCGGCAGGAGAGGTCAGTGGGGCCAGCTTGGATCTGAATTTGGGAATAAAAGCTCGTGATGGTGACCGTGGAAGCGAAGCAGGGGTGGAGGACGAGGGTAGTGAACAAGCGGAGAGCTGACTTTAGCCAAAGATGTGGAGAAGAAATCTGCAAAAACGGAAAATCAAAAAAGAAAAAAATAGCAGTTGACAGTAGAAAGAGAAGACGGCATAATCTTGAATGAAACGCCATACGAGTAACTGATCCCCATTTAATATGCTATGAACTATATGCGCATTTGCGTATGATTTATTGCATTGACACTAATCCTATTTGTTAAACTAATCTTCTATTGCTAATCATCTTATTCTCAGCGGTTCCTATCTGTGTGTTTTGAGCTACTGGTCAGCTATCTGGCATGAAACATAACTAGGATAAGTAAGTTTTCATTACCCAGATATATCTGATGTAGCAGACATTTCTGATATTTACAATTTACTTTTGCCTGGGCGCACTTTTGATGCATCCGACTTTTGTTTGTTTCTCTTACAAAACACATTGACGTGCATTGCTTATTTCTTTAATCTTGGCCATGTTGTTATGAAATATTTTAGAGTAAAACTTTACACTTATTTATTAGTGTAAAATTCCATCGTATCTTGACCTAAAAAAGTAGGGTACATTATATTCTTCTTTTTCTATTAGATTAAATGGAGCTGAAGGAGCCAATACGTGTTAATCCTATATGTTGCTCTATTTTCAGGAGATGGCATTCCCTCAATGTTATAGCCTTACTCTTAATCATCTCAAGGTAGAGTTTGGTATTTGTAACTTAAAAAGCCAGAATGCATGTTATCTTGTCCACGTCGTGTGCGTGTGTGTGTGCGTGCATGCGTGCCTGTGGCCATGTTTGTATGGTCGTGTAGTTATTTAGGCACTTAATACATGAGAGCGAAGCATAATACTTGAAGTTAAAAGCTCGAGTCTTCATGTCTTTTCATTAATTATTTTGGAGTTTCCGTGCGTGTGTAGAAATATGTAATGCATGTTGGAAAATTCTTTTGGCAGCATACCTAGTTTGGGCTCGGTCAGGTTAGACCTAAACGAATTGGATTGCTTCTAAAAACGGAATAAACTCACAAATTTGGCTCAGTTTATTTAGATTTTACTAATTTTTATGATTTTGTCACACAAAAAAAAAAACCAGGAAAGGAAAATAAAATAGACTCTTTTACACGTGCTCCAGGTGCCGAAAATGACCATCTCCAATACCTCAGCGCTAATGTTAAGAAAAGAAAAATATTCTCAAAGAAAAAGACTAATCTCCTCACTTCAATATCTTCGTTCGTCTCCCTACTCTACTCTCTTTTCGTTGCTTTTGCTTCCTTATCCACTCTTCTCTTCAACTCCTAAATAATTCTCAATTGCTGTTGACATTAGTAATATATGTAGGGGGTTATGTGTAAGTTGTGTAGGGTCTATATAAGCCCAAGAGATCTCATAATAGGGTTAGGGTTTGTATTAACAACTTGGTATCAGAGCTGCCCCCCCTTACCCGACCCTAAAACAGCCCCCGACCCCCTTCTAGCCGCTTCCACCTCGAACCCCCCTGTTGCATCCTGTCGAACCTCGAGTTTGGCATGGATTCCCTCGACTCAGTCTTCGAACTGATGACAGGAAGAGTATATATCTCACATCGATGAGATATATAACTGTTTTGGATTCTAGTTTCCTCTGAGAAACGAGAATTTGTTGAAAGATCTTACTCTTGTTGTGCAGCAGAAGTGCTGCCGAAATTTTCACTGCACACAACAAGGGTTTGAAGAACAGGTGTTGGATCTGAAGCTTGATCGATGGAGGAGATCATCAAGAAGTTGAACCCTGCGGAGGTGTCAACTTTGATGAAGTTGATGAAGTTGTCGGCTGATGAAAGCGCGACAAGACCATCAAAGAAGTTGGAGCTTCCAACCATCGATCTGAAGCTTGATGGACCGAGTACTTATCTGAGTTGGTCACGACGGGTGAGATACACCCTTGCAGGGAGGAACCTGGAGGGGTACTTGACTGGAGAAAAGACAGAACCGGATGAGGACTCGGGAGGACGGGATGAGTGGAAGTCCACTTATATGTTGGTGTACATCTGGCTTCTCAACTCGTTGGTCCCGACGATCGCCGCCACAGTAGATGGCATTGAGAAGGTGAAGGATGTCTGGGAGAAGTTGAGGAGAACATATGATGGAGTGGGGAATAACCTGAGGGTGTTCCAGATTAAAGGAGAGATTGACGCCACAGTCCAGGGAGAGAGGACTGTACAAGAATATGCTACAGAGCTGGAGCGTCTGTGGCTGGATTATGATCATTTTTCCCCCCGGGCGAGCTGCAAGGACCCAGGATGTCAAGAGCGGGAGGCCTTTCTACAGGAGAGGACTATGGTGTTTCTTAAGGGATTGACATCAGAGTTCGCTCAGCGAATTGCATTACTGCTAGCTCAGCCGAAAATTCCCTCGCTTGAGGAGGCTGTCTCGGCTATGATCCAGGAGGAGACTCGCATTAAGCTGCAGGCGGGGACATGTGGACTTCCTGTGGTGAAGTCAGCTTTAGCAGTATCTAACAATAATGGATCCAGGGGAGAGACTCGGCAGTGCTACAACTGCGGTGAAGTGGGTCATCTAAGGCATGCTTGCACCAAACCACCCAAGGAAGGAGATTCGGGTGGACGTGGACAGTTCGGAGGGCGTGGTCGTGGCCGTGGGGGTCAACGAGGTGGAAGGGGAGTAGGCAACCGGGCGAATCTGATGATAGCAGAAGGAGGAGAAGAAGCTGAGGTGATCTTTACTGAGGAGGATCAGGCGCTCCTGGCGATACTCAGGAGAAAGCAGCAAGTAGCAGGGGATGGAGACAGGAGGAGTGGGACAGAGGAGGCATCCACATCATTCTTCGTCAGAGGCAACACTGCTACCTATGCTCATCCGACCAAAGGTACTGATGACATACATGCTCTTGCTTCCATATCTTCCGACAAATCATCAGAATGGATAGTCGACTCCGGTGCGTCTCGACATGTGACAGGTAATGCTAGTGAGTTCTCATCATATACTCACCTAGCCGCCTGATAGTATTCAAACAGCTGATGATACATTTCAGCTAGTGGTTGGTAAGGGTACAGTCGATTGTACAGGTTCTGTAACTCTGTCCAATGTTTTGCATGCTCCTTCCTTTCCAGTCAACCTTTTATCCATTAGTGCTATCATCCTTCAACTAAAATGCATTGTTTCTTTTGATATTCCCAAAGTGATCTTCCAGGAGAAGGGGACAGGGCGGAGACTTGGGACTGGCACATGGCGTAGTGGACTGTGGTATCTGGATCGTGAAGGACTGGATTCAGCATTGGTGTCAATGATAGAGAGAGTAGAAGTAGGATCTGAGATGAGTGCTGAGAGTGTGTTGATGCTTCATCACCAGCGTTTGGGACACTCATCTTTTAATGTTTTAAGTAGGTTGTATCCATCTCTATTTGAGAAAGCAAATAAACAGCACCTTGTATGTGATGCATGTGAGCTTGGAAAACTTACTAGAAGTTCTTACGTAAGTTCTGGTCATAGGAGTTCTCGTGTATTCGAACTGATACATTCAGATGTTTGGGGACCTTGTTCTACAAGTTCTATGAATGGATACAAGTATTTTGTTACTTTTATTGATTGTTTCTCCCGCGTTACTTGGTTGTACGATTGTTTCTCCCGTGTTACTTGGTTGTACCTGATGAAAAATAAGAGTGAAGTGTTTGGTTGCTTTCAAAATTTTCATAGGTATGCTCAGACTCAATACGGCGCTGTGGTGAAGGTATTAAGATCTGATAATGGGACGGAGTATACTAACAAAACGTTTGGGGAATACTTGTCAGCTCAGGGAATACAACACCAGACTACGTGTCCATACACACCTGCTCAAAATGGAGTAGCGGAAAGAAAGAATAGACATCTTTTAGAGGTTGCTAGAAGTATGATGATCTCCATGAATGTCCCAGAAACATTATGGGGACAAGCAGTGTTGACCGCGGCAGCACTAATCAACAGAATGCCCTCGAGAGTGCTGGATTGGAAGTCTCCGTGTGAGATATTGAAAGGAGATAATGGTGGGATCCTTCCACTCAAAGTGTTTGGCTGTGTGTGTTTTGTGAAGGACAACAGGCCGTCTGTCGGGAAGCTTGCCCCTAGAGCTGTGAAGTGTATCTTTGTGGGATATTCTGCTACTCAGAAGGGATATGTTTGCTGGAGCCCGGTGGAAAAAAGGTTGTTTGTGAGCATGGATGTGCACTTTCGAGAACTTGAGACAAGAGGTGTTAGGCCAACGGCTCAGGGAGAACTACTTACCTATAGTAGGAAGGGGAAACAAATTGCGGGAACAGTACCAACAGTACCTACAGTGCCACTGGTGCCAAGTCCCTTGCCAACGCCTGAACCGACTCCTGAGACACCTACACCACCACAAGATTCCTCTCAAGGTGACTCCATTTCTCTTCCTATTCCTCCCACACCAATAACTGTACGGAGGACTACTCGCAGTAATGCGGGAAATCCTCCCGATAGATATGGTTGGGATCTTGCTCAGTTTGTATCATATTCTAACATCCACCCTGCACATGGAGCATTCATTGCATCTCTGGACTCTGTTACTATTCCTAACAATTGGCAGGTTGCAAAGAAGGACCAGAAATGGAAAGCTGCTATGCACGAAGAGCTAGGGGCCCTTGAGAAGAACCGCACTTGGGAGTTAGTAAAACTACCAAAAGGGAAGAGAGCAGTTGGATGCAAGTGGGTCTTCACTGTGAAGCAGAATCCAGATGGACAGGTTGAGCGCTACAAAGCTCGTCTGGTGGCAAAAGGATATAGTCAGACATACGGCATCGACTATGATGAGACTTTTGCACCAGTGGCGAAGATGAGCACTGTTCGAACCTTGATCTCTCTGGCAGTAAATGGTGGATGGAAGCTACACCAATTAGATGTGAAGAATGCATTTCTTCATGGAGATCTGGTGGAAGAGGTATACATGGAAATTCCGCCAGGATTCAACACAGAACAGACAGTGGGCAAGGTCTGCAGATTGAAGAAGTCTCTATATGGCCTGAAACAATCTCCTCGTGCTTGGTTCGACAGATTTAGGCGGGCTATGATAGGTATGGGATACCGGCAGATTAACGCTGATCATACCGTGTTCTTCCGACGAAATGAAGGTCACATCACTGTGCTTGCGGTATACGTGGATGATATGATCATTACAGGGGATGATGAGGAGGAGATTGCCAAACTCAAAGTGAGACTGGGTAAGGAGTTCGAGGTGAAAGATCTTGGCTTGCTTCGATACTTTCTTGGAATAGAAATAGCTCGCGGAGCGGAGGGGATTGTCTTATCCCAGAGAAAGTATGCACTGGATCTTCTTAAAGAGACAGGGATGTTAGGGTGTAAACCTGCAACTACACCGATCGACCAGAAGTTCAAGCTGGGTGCTGAGGCTGGAGAACCAGTTGATCGTGACAGATACTAAAGGCTGGTAGGGAGGTTGATCTATCTGAGTCACACACGTCCCGATATCTCTTTTGCAGTGAGCGTGGTGAGCCGCTACATGCATGATCCAAGGAAGGGGCATATGGATGCTGTGTACCAGATTCTGAGATATCTGAAGAGTGCCCCTGGAAAGGGACTGATATTCAGGAAAAATGGACATGTGAGCATCGAGGGTTATTGCGACTCTGATTGGGCTAGCTGTGCTAATGACAGGAGCGGTCCACCTCGGGATACTGCATCTTTATAGGAGGCAACTTAGTCTCGTGGAAGAGCAAGAAGCAATCAGTGATGGCGAGATCAACTGCTGAGGCAGAGTATAGAGCTATGGCCTTAGGAGTTGCTGAGTTGTTATGGTTGAAGAGTATGCTGGTTGAGCTGAAGCTGGATCAATGAGCTAAGATAAAGTTATGGTGTGACAACAAGTCATCTATCAGTATCGCCAACAACCCAGTGCAGCATGATAGAACCAAACACATCGAGATCGATAGGTTCTTCATCAAAGAGAAGTTGGATAGTGGACTACTGGAGCTAAGTCATGTTTCAACTAAGGACCAGACAGCAGATTGTCTGACTAAAGGACTTAGCTCATTAGACATGATTAGAGGATGTGACAAGATGGGCTTAGTGGATATCTTTCGCCCATCTTGAGGAGGAGTGTTGACATTAGTAATATATGTAGGGGGTTATGTGTAAGTTGTGTAGGGCCTATATAAGCCCAAGAGATCTCATAATAGGGTTAGGGTTTGTATTAACAACTATTGCCCCGTTGCCAATGCTACTCAATTGTTTCTCTTCATCTTCAATAGTTTCATAAGGATTGAAGGATATTCAAGTATATTTAAAAGCTAATGATAAGAAGGGAAAAGGTAGCAAAAAATACCTAACCATATCTAAAATTAATATAAAGATCATCCAAATTTTCTTAATGGAGAAGAAAAAAAGGGCAGGCACCTAATTGATCCCTAGACTAACGTTGGATATAAGATGTGAATCAAAAGAGAGAAATTGTGAGATAGAGATTTCCTAGGAACTACTTATGTACATCTGTTGCAAAAGCAAGCGAGCGTCTAATTCGACCAAAAGTTACTTGGCTATCATAAGGTGTTTATATTGTTGAAGATGTCCTATATGCATTAAGCATAGTACATGAATCCACACGCATGAACTTAATTTTTGAAATTTGTGGAAGAATAGATCCAGTACTTTCTCTTTTGACACAATTTAATACTATGCATGAATAATTGGATGTAAGTTATTTTTGTTCAATGAACAATGATATCCTCACTGGTAAAAAACAACACATTCTAGATGGAAATTTCCATCTAGAATAGTTTGATTTCTGTCTAAACTGACCATCCTAGACAGAATTCTATCTAGAATGCTAATCTAGTAAGTTTTCGTCTTGGATGAAGCATTCTAGATGGAATTTCATCTAGAAAAGCCGTTCTAGACGGAATAGCAACCTAGATGATTAAAATATTTGTCTAGGATATTTCTAGATGGAATATCCGTCTAGAATACTGTAGACAGATTTTCCGTCTGCGAACGATCCCAGACGAAAATCAGTCTGGAATAGTCTAGACAGATTTTCCGTCTCGGAACCATCCTAGATGGATTTTCCGTCTAGGATGTTTTATCACATCCCAGACAAAATTTCCGTCTAGGATGTTTTCTAGACGGAAAATCCATCAAGGTTGTTTACATTCATTTTAACAAATTATTTTTTAATTGTTTTTATAAATTCTTTTATAAATTTTCACCTGTAAATACAAATATAGCAGAAATTGGAATTTACTAGTATACAAATCCAACTCAATAATAATCCAAATCCAACACATATATTCATCCAATAATATTCCAAATCCAACTAATATGCAAATCGAAATCCAAATAATAATCAATATGCAATTCAAACTAACCAAGCTTATAACAAACATGTCATCAACAGAAAACAAAAAATAGCAGAAATTGGAATTTACTAGTAAAGTCCTTATAAATATAGTTGTTCATTTAGTCATCAATAATACATAAGTTTTCATCCTGTGGACATCACCCAACTCCCTCCAGTAGATATTTACTTGGTAAGAAAAATACATTTCATGTTAGATAAAGATGAAGACATTCTTCACTAATACAATATTAATGGATACACTGTAGGGTCCCGAAAAAGACAAAACGACTGGTTCTCTAACTGTTTTAGTTGTGAGAAGAGATTCTATCGCCTGGTAAGAATCTTTTACAATCGTTCTTTTTCAAGTACAGAAGATGAGAAGATTGATTCGATTCTTCTTTGTTTAACATGGGCTTGATGTGACGATGAGATGCCTCGCTCGATACCGTGTCGAGCTTACTTCTCGTTGACGATCGGAGCAAGATTGCTTCAACTCGAGGAGAAATAATAGCATCGGTCGAGTGCTTGAGCTGCTACTTGTAGTTGCTCTGTCTCTTTTCTTTTTTTTTATTTTTATTTTTGTTGAGGAGAAAGAAAAGTCCAGTCGTCCGCGTGTGTCCTCTTCATAGCCGTTCACGACTATTTTTAATGATAAGCGTGTAACTGACACTAAGATCATGGACCAGGAGCGTAACAGACTCCGTGAATTTAGCCCACGTGGTATGACTGGGTCTTTATGGCCGTTATCCATCTCCTAGTGTCTAGCTTCATTTGGTGAGACGAGCCTGTATGACTGGGTCTTTATGGCCGTTATCCATCTCCTAGTGTCTAGCTTCATTTGGTGAGACGAGCCTTGCTGGGTGGCAAGGTTCTTCTAATGAGACGAGTCTCACTACAAGGTGAGGTTCGTATTGTTATATATAGGTGCCCTGCATATAATAATTATATATTATAACATGACCTATATGAATATAACATCCTTATTCAAAATAACAGTATGTTATTTTGGTCAGTATTTATCTGATATTTTTTAATACAGATAAAGTGTTTAGAATAATACTAGATTATCAGAATTTCGATATTGATCGTAATGAAGAAGAGATCTGATTAGTTGATAACATATATTCTAAAATGTTCCTAGTCGATGAAGTGTTGAGATAGGACATCATCACTTTGGTAAGACTAGTGTGTACTCTATTTGTCCTTTTGAAGGACGATGATATACAGGTGACTCATTAGTGAATGAGTTGACTGAACGACTCACTGAGAATATCTAGTTGCTAATTATACTAAACTGTCAAATAGAAGTTCTCAAGTGATATAGTACAAAGTAGTCTCTTGACCTAAGACATGAGTGCAATATCTTACATGTAAGTATAGATGTACTTAGACTTTTACCTAATCACAGTTCTCATTGAGTTATGCATAACGGTTCTTGTTAGGTGCATCCCGAGACATAAGTAGGTATTGAGATGCTAAGATGAGATTCGTCTCTCCCAGTATATGGAGTTGATATCATAAGATTGTTTGATATAACTATAACCTGGAAATCCTTGGTCAAGGTAAATAAGATAAACTGAGTGTCAGTTTGATCTTATAGGTTATGAGTTTAATATCAACAAATACTAATCAAGCTATTAGGGTTTGACAAATTACTATACCATAAGCTTGATAGTTTGACATGGTTTGATGAAGAGACCTAAATGTACGGTATTATCACTGAGTGTTCCTGATAAAATTGGGTAAGTATCTTGTAGACCTTTATCACAACTTATAACCAGGTAGTCTTCATGTATAGCTAGCACCTCTATTGTACTTGTAGATATGTCCACTATCGAGTTTTAAGTTGGGATCTAGAGTCACACCAAGCGCGTATTTGAATCCTATGAAATATCATTTATAGAGTAAATGCGTATGATTGATACGCATATATGATTTTACCGGATACACATAAACAGTTATATGTATTGGCAAAATCAGAATTCTATGTTCTTAAGAAATGATTTCCAGAATTTTTATAAAGTTGACTTTTGGTCAACTGGTTGACTTTTTGGTCATATGATGACTTGTTAATTAAAGATTGGAAAAATACTAAATATCGTATTTGTGAAATACCGTATTAGTAATAATGCTGTGGTATTTTCATTTATGAAATACACATTTTATTATACCATGATTAATGAGTCATGAGATGAGTCAGTAAGTGGTATGGTTTGGGAACATGGTTTTAAGCACATGGTTTTGATTTTTCATGACTCATTGCATGACTCATGAGATGAGTCATTGCATGACCCATGAATTGAATCATTACTTTTGATGACTCATGCCACGACTCGTGAGATGAGTCATGACATATCTTACTCTATAAATATCATGAGCTCTCTCTCTTATGTAAAGGTTAATGAATGAATGAAAAATTGGTTTTCCATAAGAGAATAAAAGAGAGCTCTACCTCTTACTAAATTCTAGCAATCTTTGAGTAAGAGAAAGTAGTAGGATTTTAAGAACCTCGGGTAGATATCTTACCTTGTGTCTCAAGAAGTCTCTAATTTTTCACGTTCACTTAAAGCTTTGGAGATCCACTATAAGGAGGTTTACTACAATAAGGATCATGAGCTAAGTGTTGTTCGATCTACACTCGAATCACGCTTTAAAAGTATGACTTTGAAACTCTTGTATGCTCTCTTTAATATAGTGATCATGTTAGATTTAATTAGGATGGTCCTGGTATGGATTTCATGCTCTCTACATGCTTAGTATTCTTGTACGTAAAGTCTCTCGTTGCGTATTTTGCATGTATTTAGCAGGGTTTTCCTTCACGTCTGACAAGATGAGTCTTGCTGTATGGCGAGCCTCATCCTTGAATGAATTTCATCTTCTGAAGGAGCTTCATCTCCTAAAGGAGCTTCGCCTTTAATGACGAGCTTTGTTTTCTGAAGGAACTTCGTCTTTAATGACGAGCCTCGTTTCTGAAGGAGCTTCGTCTTCAATGACGAGCTTCGTTTCTGGGCGAACTTCGTCTTAAATGA